TTAGCCACGCCATCTCTGACGGGTCTCTCTACAAAACCGGTGACGATGTCATCACACAAAACCAACACGGAAAGTCAGAAAAAAAATGAAAAAAATTGACAACACATAGAAATGTTTGTCCGTGCGCACGGGTTGATGTCGCCCGCATGCTCCGGTGCCGCTGCTCCATCCGGCGCCGCTGTAGTAGTCAGCCCGAGCAAAACGCCACTCGACCTGCTCCGTCCGTACACGCTCTCGTTGCTGTCCTTCCCAGTCGGTTCCTCGCTTTCTCCCTCGTTGCACTCAAGGTTCTTGGTCTGAAAAATAAAAATTCTCGCGCCGAAGGGGTCAACCAGCCCAGTTCAGCTCGTCGCCACCTGCTCCCTCCTCCTTTGATGGCGAAGCCAGGTTACTGAGGCAATACAGCTCCCTCTAGCAAACGTAGGGCCGTGTAGTGCCCGTCCACCATTCTGATGGTGTCTGCCTCCGCGCACAAAAATGAGATGGGCATCACTGCCNGTGAGTCTAGCCCTGCTCGCCAGAAAGACCCCCCCCTTCACTACAACCCATGTCTAAGCAAAAGCTTGTCGAGGAGCGAGGGGAAGAAGGGAGAGAGTACTACTACTAAATTTATACAAAATTAATTGTCATGACATACCAACTATGGAGACACACCTTCCCATCCGTGTCAGGGTTTGCACCGGCCTCATCCTTGACGATCTGTTGTATCGGCCTCAGCCCATTTATTAAGAAGACAGGGAACCACCCTTACAAAGCAATCGTTGTTGTTTTCGTTACACTCTACAAATGCCAACCCGGAGGAGGCGTCTCGCACCCTATACTTACACAACGGTGTACAAGCAGGAAAGGTCTGCGGGTTCGATGCATTCGACCGTGGACAAGAGAGTCGAGACAATAACCGTAGGTCGCACAACGTAATATATCACCCCCCCCTCTATCCACCCCCTCCCGGTGTTTGCCATCGGAGTTGGGTTTTCGTCGCTTGGCAACGACGTTGTAAAACTAGCCAATTCACTTCGTGAGCTCGGGAACCAAGTTCCGTTTTGTTTTTTTACCTCTGTTTTTTTTTGGCGGTAACAATCATGGTGGTCGAGTGGATCATGTTGTGCGGGGTGGAGAACCCTCACTCCGCGCAAGGGGGATGATCGCACCACGTTGTGTTAAAATGGTCAAGCACCCTCCAGGCAGTTACACAGTGCTTACAACTGTCTCTGGAAGTGAAAGCACCAGAAAGTAAATTAAGTCATACGCAGCTGTCATCCGTACGCAAGGAAGTAAGCACAAGATGCCGAAAACCCTTAGCAGGATGCAGCGCACCCTTCATGCGACTCGCCGAATATCTCACGGCGCTTCGCGCTTGGTGATGTGAGAGCCTGGTCCGGTGAGAACCCGGCGTGCTCCGTCCCGGCTTTGTAGGGATGCGAGGTCAATGGTCTAACGACTACGGCATGCACGACTGTGAGTACACCCCCACCCCCCCTCCACGGACCGGATGCCGAATACCCTTAGCAGGTTGCAGCGCACCCTTCATGCGACTCGTCGAATACCTCACGGTGCTTCGCGCTTGGCTATGTGAGAGCCTGGTTCAGTGGACCCTGAGTGCTCCGTCCCGGCATTGTAGGGATGCGAGGTC